CAACAGAATAAAGGGGAATAATCTATGATCATTTCAATACAGAAAAGGTATTTCACAAAATTCAATACATATTCATGATTAAAAACTCTCAGCCAACCAAGAATACGGTACTTTCTCAATCTGATAAAAAGTATGAACAAACAAAAATCTATTATTGAGTTATAGAAGTTCTTTATTTATCATTGATACTCGTCTTCTGTCAGATACAAATTTTGCAAATATTTCCTAGTCTGTGGCATGTCTATTCATTTTATTAATGGTGTCTTTTGATGACCAGAAGTTTAAAAATTTTTCAGTCTAATTAATGGTTTTTCCTTTTACGTTATTGCTTTCTGTGCTTTACACTAGGATAATATAAGAGAAAGAAATGGTTTTGGAAGAAATATGATGAGATAACCGACACTAGTATAAATAAGGCACTTAACGTGTTTGTTGAATGATTCTCTTTCAGCTTGGTGTTAAACACAAACATGATGAGCACATCTATGGCTTCATCATGATTTTTAATATAAATATAGATTAGGGCAGGGTGAAGGAGAGAGTCTATAACTCACCTTCTAAATATGCCTTCCAGGTCATTATCAATGCAATCATCAGTGCTCCTTGGAAACAGATGTGCAATAGACCCTAAATCCAATGAATTCTGAATCAACATGACTGTTATCATCTGGCCTTCAGTAATTCATTTTGTTTACAAGAAAGAAAAATGTCATGTTGGAAACAGGGTATGCTGACACTGTAAAGGCTTATCCATCTGCCAGAGTATTACAATTTTATCAGAACCTAAGAGGGTTCAGTGGGACTTGTTCTTAGTGAAAGGCTAGCTCCTAATCATCATTTTCTTTGCTAAGTGCCTTTAAGTCACGTGTTTAATAATTCATTCTAGAATTTTATCAGGGCTCATCACACTTATTGATCAGATTACACTTTCATTCCTTCTAAAATATTAGAACAAAAGTATTTCAGTAATTCTCTCTTCCCTGTGATTTTGCAACTATTATAAAGAGTGATTTTTAGTACCATGCAATGTAATTAACAAAGAGAACTCACTGAATACACTACACTGTTCTTTAAGTTTTTGCTCATTTACCTTAAAAGTAAACCCTTTTTTAAAAATCCATTATTTTCTTCTACCTTAAGGGTCATTTCCTGAGTGAAAAAGATGGGGCTGTCCTACTTTTTTCTGTAATGTTAAACTTTAAATCATACACAAATTCCATAAAAAATATATCAGTGAATCTGTCCCCCTGCTGACTGCTTCACGTACTAAAGGCACGGGGAATGCTGTTGGTTAATCCAGACAGAATGGAGACTTCTGTCCTAGAGAAGCTATTACAGCCTTAAAACTTTTTCTGAACATGCTCTTTCAGTGCACATATGAAGACTCTCAATAAATGGCGAACTTGAAAAGTTTGTATCACCATAAATATCATCACATTTTAGAGTGTTACAATTTATGATAAAGCATCCCCATTACCTTCAGATGGGTGTGTTTCCCAGCTGTTAAACACTGAATTTCAAATCTCAACAAATTATTTCACTCACAGGACAATAAATCTGGTCCAAGTATGACGTGTGTGTTTTTCTGAAGGGTGGGATGGAGGTAGAGCAGGGCTAGACGAAATGCACAAAATGCCCCTTTTCATTTCCTCTGCTAAAGTATAATTGTGACTGGGGAGTATGAACTCCAAGGGTAGCATACTTCGCTTTCCCCTCAGACTACTCCACGTTCACAAAGCAAAACATGTGCTATTTTTAATAAATGAAAAGTTCACATTGATACTTCTAGACTTGATAGTTGAGGAGCCTGATAATAGGATATCCCAGACTTTACATTTTAACAGTGGTTCAAATCCAATTGGTGTCAGCAATGACCTCAAATCAATTATCACTCATACTTCATTGCTGCTCGGTGATTTGAAACCCACTTCTAATCTAAAGCCTTTCATGTCTCTGGTTAAAGAGAAGTCAATGATTGAAGTACATCTACATAAACTACCTGCTCATATCCAAAATGTATACTAACAGGATAAATGTAAATTTTTATTAATAACCTTGCAGTGTTTTTCATTCTAAGTTTAGTTAGAAGAAAGGTAAGGAAATACATTTTATAAATGTGCAGGCTCCGAAATTTGTAAACCAAAACAGGGATAGACTGTATATATTGCTAGCTTGCCTTATCTTATAAAGGAAATATGTCAAACAGATTTTTATTCCTAATCATTTTATAGTTCAATTCTTATTCACATATTTATTCATTTGGGAAGCACCATAGATCAGTGAATGAGGATTGGAGGCAAAAGACTCTGACTCTAAGTCACTAATTAGCAAACTAACCTGAATCTCTCTATGTGAGCTGAGGATAACGATATGTGCTGACTTGTTCAAGTTTCCATAAGGACTAAATGAGATGCTGCATGTAAAGCACTTTCCCTTTACCATCTACGCCGACTCCTCACCAAGGTAGCGACTGTCATTGTCATCATTCAACAAATACTTACTGAGCACATAAACGAGTAAACTAAATGAATGTTATAATTGAGGAATTTCTTGCTTATTGTACCTACCCACTGCAGGCTGTCAAATCCAATTCGGCTCCCTTTGGATTTTGATATACCAGCTCCATGCTAGGAAGGTAACAAAAGAACATTATAGTAAACCCGAAGCCCAGCATGCAACACTACATTTAGGATAGGCATGAGATTCAAACTATATCACTGGCTCATAATCATTAAAAAGCATTCACCAAATACCTGTTTTCATACAGTCATGAGCTAAGAATTCTACCGTTACATAATACAACTACCCAAGATGGAAAACACTGACAGATTATAGTAAGTTAAGTTATTAAACAGTAAGGTATATATATGACCAACATCTCTAAACTAATTTCCATGAATGAATAGTAAAGTTTTTGCTCCCTCTTTGGAATTAGGGTTTATCTATTTGGCTCCATATCCCTAACTTCAGCTTATCTCCACACACTGAGTTGGTGTTTATACACCTTGGCAAGGTGATAAAAAAGCGTAATAATATTTACGGAGCAGCTCCTAAGTGCACTGTGTTTGACATTTCCATACATGAATTATGTATTCCCATCTATCTCATATAACAACCCTGCCAAGTAGGCATGATTTCTGTTTTACAGATAGCTCCAGTGCCCAGTTTCCCTAACATGCATCATAATGTCAAGGGTTGACTTTTTTAAGAATATTTTCAGAAATATTCAAAGAATCAGTTCTCATTTGATAAGCCCCCAAATACTTTAAAAGTAACAGGAGAAAGAATGTCTGATGGCCTAAAGACAAGAGGAAGACTGTCGCAAGTTCAAAGAGCCAAAGAGGTTTCTTATGCCTTCAAAGTGTTCTTTATCTGTAAGGCGCAGATGGGAGCATGCGGAAGAAGAATCAGAATAGTCTCACCCTAAAAAGGAAATGTGCTCCAAGTTTCTAACAAGGAGACTCATCTCGCCCTAAACCTCAAACTCAAGGGCATCTTAATTCTCCTTTGTATTGCCAGTGCCTAACATGATGGTTGGTAATTAGTAAGTGCTTAATAAGGGTTTGTTAATTGGAGGGAAGGAGGGATATGCCCAGTAACGAAGGTCTAATCAGAACTGGTCTTTCCTCACAAGCTCAGCAACTTGGACAGTAACATTTTAACAATAACATTTTAATACTTGAGGATATTTGAGAAAAAAACAACAAAGAGGCAGCTTTGTCATTCCCTTCAGTATAAAAACAAGATATTATCTCTCCTATTTGAAATAATTAGAAAAAAAAACCCAAACGCTCTTGACTCCTCTTTTCCCAATTAACAATTTTCTGTCCCCCTTTACAGCAAAACTCCTCTTGAGCTGTGTTTTCACTCCTCGAATTCCTCTCCTTACATGAATTCTCTTGAGCTTAGCATTCCCTCTGTCCTTGAGGTACTTGGTCTGTCAAGAATTGTTGATCACCCCTCTCTCCCTTAAACGCTCCATTCGCTGGGCTCTCAGGGTCCCCACACTTCTAGTTCTCCTGCTATTTCTCTCTGGCTACCCAGTCTTCTTGGCCTCATTTCCTTGTTCTTCCCACCTCCCTGACATGTCGGAGGCTCCCAAAGCTCAGGCCCTGAGACTTTTCTCTCATTTACTCTATGTTCACTTACTTGGTAACTAAACTCATCTTCTCCTGTGGCTTTAAACACCATCTGTATGCTTACAACTCCCAATTTACATTCCCAACCATACCCGTCCTTTGAACTCCAGATTATTTATATATAGACCCAACTGTCTATTCGCCTTCTTCATTCGGATGTCAAATAGGCATTTAAAACTTTACATGCACAAAAAACAAACAAACAAAAACAACAACCCCCCCTGCCCCCTCCAACTCTTGATCTTCACTATTCCTCAAACTTGTTTCTCCCGGTCAGTCTTTCCCATCTCAGTAAACAACATCTCCCTTCCAATTATCTAGGCCAAAAATACTAGTTATCCCAGGCTCTTTTCTGTCATTCCTACCTGAAATCTAGCGCATCAACAAATCGTGTCAGCTCTACCTTCCATTTCTCACAAACTCCACCACTAACTCCTTGGTCTAAACCATCATCATCTCATGTAAATTACTAGAATCGCCTTCTAACTGATCTTTGTGTTTCAGCTCTTGACCCTACAATCTATTCTCAGCAGAGTACCCAGTCTATTTCTTTTTAAAATAAAGTTGGATCATGTCAAATATCAGCTCAAAACCTTCCTATATTTCCTAGTCTAACTCAGAATAAAAGCCAGTCCTTTTGTCGTACAAGGCCCTAAACAATATGGAGCACTCTAACCTTACCCAGTATTCCCCCCACAACCCCCAACAATTTTCTTTGGTGTTCTCAAAACTAGGAGGCATGCTTCTGCCTCAGGACCTTTGCTCTTCCTTTGGTTTCTACCTACTATGCACCTCTTTTAGATATCCATATAGCTCATGCTCTTTGAATAGACTGTTTCCTCTTTTCATAATGGCCCTCCCATCCTTTTTCACCTGGAGAGCTTCTACTCATTCTACAAGACCAACTCAAAATATTATTTCATCCATGAAATAGCCAGTCATAACCCTCTCAAGTAGGTTATCCAGCAGTTCCTCATTCCCTAACAAAGGGCGCTTACCTAAGCTCGAAGGGTGAAGGATAAGAACACAGGAGGATAGTTTTGTAGGCCCTAAAGATATACAAGTATTGTGGTCCTTTTAAAGAAAAAGAATGAAAACTTTGTAAAAACATATAACTTTGTAAACATAGCCTTAAGGCCCCTCCAAGGGCCTTGGAAGTGAGGGGCCCTGTAATTTAATTTTATTGTCTTAATGGTTAATCCACCTCTGGGGAGGAACAGTTACTGGCACCCAGTGGCTACAACTGTGGCTGTATAGAAGGAATGCAGTCACCATTAACCAATGACCCTATAAATAGAGAACCAAGAGGATAAATAATCCGATCTCTTTCCTCCTCGTTTCCACTCTCCATGTGCTGCTTCCCACTGGCTGAGCCCACATGGAAAGCAAGGGCGGGGAGCTCAGCTAATGCAGCCCCCAGAGGCCAGCCTCCCAAAGCACAGGGTACGGTGAGGAGAGGACTCGGAGGGCAGACACTGTACGCCATGCCATGCTAAGGGGTTTACACCTTCCCACAGGTACGTATGCAGAGAATAACTAGATCAGATCTGTACCTAAGAAAAAAGAACTCTAACAGCTGTACGGAGGAGGATTACAAAGGCTAGAGATTAAAGGACAGAAGGGTTAAGTGAAGTAAGTAGAGCAGGGTTTTATGATGTGTGCTTTGAAGAAGTAACTTATCACGTTGCTATCATTTGTTTATGTCTCTTTATATGTTTCTTAACCCCTTGCCCCTTCAACTCCAAACTCCCCCACGGATTACACTGATTCACATCATTTTGCCTCATAGCCTAGTATTGTGCTTTGGCACACAGTAAGCCCTCAACACCTGACAAATGAATGACTGAATGTTCTAGAAGAAATGCCATATAGTTAAAAGTCAAGAGGTTAAAAAAAAAAGTCTAAACATGTTTTGAAGCATTGTCTATGGGATCTATGGAGTGAAAATTGAAGTGAAATAAATAATTAAGAGGAGAGATGGAATCAGATGCCCAAAAGGACTGTCAGAAAAAGCCTGGTGGCTACCAGTGATACCAGATATCTGGATACCGGAACTCCACTGATAAATGAGTCAAATGAAGATGTGCCATCAACGAAAAAGCATCTGGAAAATAGGTAAATATTTAAGGAAAAATCTTGTTAGTTTTAAAAGACAGTATCCAAGAATGAGTTTCTGACAGAAACCAAAACACCACATTTTTAATTCAGCATGATCGCGAATCATTGCTATATAGAATCAAATGGTAATACTTAAAAAGAAAAATGAAGTCTTCAATAACTGACTTGTTTAAACCTAAGGACCATGCACACTAACCGGGGCAAGTCCACCCCCTCCAGGCAGCCTTCCATTTCTGTATCTCAGGGCCCTTCCTTCCGGCAGAAACGCACTTGCTCCCGTCACTGGAGGTGTTAGTGGACGGGGCTCACAAGTGTAATCTGCAATGGTGGGAAAGCTGTGTTTCTTAATAGCCAAAACTGCTTGGCCAGAAAAATCTTTACAGTCTAAAGTTGGAGAATAAATGAAAGAATAAAAAAATATCCGCCAATTCTAATAAAAACAATCCTTTCACTTTTCTCCTGGATGCTGACAGGAGTTGGGGGACATGGACTGATGGGACAGGAAGAGAGGGACAATAGCATCTATCAAAGTTTACCATACGTAATTGGACTATCACATTACACTTCCTCCAGCAATGACCTGTCAGTCATCCTTCAGAGCAAGATGGAACTAGCCAACAGTCAAATAACAGCAAAGAAAAATCATGGTTTTTGTACGATGTTAGCAAGTAACTGACCAACTGAAAATATTTCAAAAACCTTTGCTGCACATGGCCTAACTGGCTACAAGATTTATTTCTACTCCTATTGTAATAATGGTATCCAACATTGTGCACTGTGAATGACTATTGCCAGACTCGAAATCCAAACTCTCCTTTCAATTCTCTTTCCCTGGCTTTTAGCCAAACACACACAGGTTACCTAACAATGCAAAGTAAGACATCTTAGCACAGACCCTGTAAGTGGTCTCCTCAGAAGTAAGAACAGCTGATGAGTACAGACACTGCTGTGGCTTATGGGACTAAGTCAAGAATATCACTCAAGTTTGGTTCACTCAGCGCTTTACACAAACACAGTTCATTGACTTTGTCTTCCCGCCACTAAGGCATCAATATTTCCTGGTTTTCTGTTGAGATTCAGCATTCCTTAAAGCCATCTCATTTCATATCTCCTCATCAATCTTCCAGTATTTTGTTGAACATACTTGTATTTACACACCACAGTAGCATTATGAGTGAAGAACAGGTTACAGGACCTGAACTTGGCGACCTTGAGCAAGAACCTTAACATACCTGGGCTTCACTTATTTATGAAAAAGTGACAAATTTAAGCTCATAAGGACACTCAAATAATTAAATACGATTTTATGTATCAAGTTCCAGTGGAAACCTTAAAAGCACGAGAAGATATAAGCTATTAACACTGCCGTCTTCTGAGCATCTACATGTATCGGACATTAAGTTAGAAGCATTACCTATATCATTTCATCCAGCAAAGTTGCTATTAGCCCCATTTCAAGAAATTGAAGCTCAAAAACCTTAAGTAACTTGCTGAAAGCCAAACAACCAAATGAGGATTCCTTCTCAGGACTATACAGGCCCCAGACTCAAGAACTACTGCTGTTGTCACCTTTATCAACTTATTATGAGTTCCCTGAGAGTAGGCTCCACATTCTATTTATCTCTATATTCCTACAAAGCGCCCTGTATATAACAAGTAAACATAAATATAGGTTGAGTGAGCACATAATTATAATCACCCCACAAAAATGAGAATCTCAGTAAGAAAATATTTCTGCAAGGGTCTGAAAAACTGTGATTCATTTTATGTACTAGAAAAGAAAAGTACGTTAGGAAAATACACAGCTAAAATGAAACCTCATGATGAGAAAGGAGAAAAAAGTTACCTTTGCTGATAAATAGTGCTTGTAGTAGTACAACTGAAACAGCAGAAATGCAGAACTTGTCAAAGTTAAAAGCGCCAAAATCACGTTCTTATTGATTCTGCTCATTAGTCTGCAGTGGTCACTTGCTTGGCTTTTGAAAGTAACCCGGTTGGTTTCATCTTTTTGGATAAGAAGATAATCTTGTTTTCCGTGACCAAAAAGATATTTCTAAAGAGAAAAAAAATCCTATTTTTAATTTTTCACTTCTAATAACCATCAACAAAGAAAAAGTTATCTAAAGTTCTACAGAACATTCTTCGATTTGGTAATTTCCTATGCTGAAGAAATAATCAGATATGAGACTAAATCTGAAAGAATAGAAATGTTTATCATGCGGGGCGGCCAGTTAACCTGGTTAGAGCGCAATGCTCATAACACCAAGATTGCTGGTTCGATCCCCACGTGAGCCACTGAGCTGTGCCCTCTACAACTATTATAAATTGACACAACTACTTGCCTTGGAGCTGATGGGTCCTGGAAAAACACACTGTTCCCCAATAAAAAATAATAATAATAATAATAATAAAAAGTTTATCATGGCATTCTTTACAATTGTAAATAACAAAAACCATAAATGGGATATTTATATAAACTGACCAACAGTGACAGGGGGGCTTCTCCCCGAGTTTCCAATTCAGTAGACCTGGTGTGGGGCCTCTGAACTTGCATTTCTGACAAGTTCCCAGGCGATGTTGATGCTGCTGACCATACTCAGAACCACTTCTACAGAACAAATAAAACATGTTTTTTGTCAAAGAACACCATCTATATGATAGCTCTCAGTTTTTGGAGGGGAATTAGGATGTGGTCAGTTTTATAAAATAAAGACCCCTGTGTATGTTTTCAGTTTTTGCAAGTGTAAAGAGAGCCATTATAAAAATTTTTGTTCTTTCATCTTTAGTCCCATCTGATTTTCTTTAGGACAAGAAATTTAACATAGTTCTACTACTTCTCACCTCCTCTCCACTGCTTGATTTTGGTTAAATAAACTAAATTTAGTTCAAGTGTTTCTCTTTCAAACGGACTTTTATTAGTTATTTCTATGTTGTTATAGTTCTATTATAATCTGTACCTACAAATCTCACAGTTTTTGGTCTTATTCCTACTATGTTCCCTACCAATCCTTTTGCTGTGTCATCTCTGTTCATCCACTACATGGCTGATATTCACCTTCTCAGAGTTTATAAAAAAGAACTTATGGGTACTATTTACCTTGAGTTCTTGCATTGTTCAAAACTGGTTGGCAATTGGCAATTTGGATTTGCGGTCACATTTTCTCTCCCCTGATGACTTATAGGTTTTGTACCACTCTCCTATAATGCTAAATATTCCTTAACAATATCTGATCCTTCCCACAGCACTCCCTATAGGTAAGCTGATCATTTTAATGGAATGGGTAAAGAACACATTTCTTACCTTTGAAGTCCAATTTTTAAAAAACTAGTATGTAATGACGTTGATGACTATAAGTTACTTTTCCTCACTGTGTGCCCCTCAACCTGCAGAATCAAGGTTTCTTTTGGTTGTGCAAAGTTTCCTTAAGTTATGTTTGAATATTTTTCTGTTCTAATGTTGAACTCTTCCTTTCCATAACTACAATTCAGCACTTGTTTCAATGCCTTTCATTCCCATTCCACTTTGTCCAACTTTCAAAAGCCTATTACCATGTCTTTTACTGAATTTTCAACAATATTAATTCTCCTTTTTGCTCCCAATGTGGCCTTTTATTTCTCCAATTTTATTTTTCTTTCTGTTCTTTCTTGAGCTCTGCCAGATTATAATTCACCATATATTGTTCTTTTATTATTTCTTCCTAGCTCTTGGGCCAATCAACTTGGTCTCTTATTTTTAAAAAGTGATTGTTTTATTAAATTCTTTAGGCCAGTACAGTTTTCTCATGGGTTCTTTGTCACTTGGTATTCCCTGTTTCTTTTCTCCCAGATCAGTTATTTGCAAAGAGATTGTGGAAGGAAGAAACAAGGCTGTGTTTGGGACCAGAAGATAGTCCCTCTGGCACACAAGAAGCTCTTTATGACAGTGTTTTGTGCATGTTTGTGTGAGAGACAGAGAGAATGTGTGTGAGAAAAAGTAAGAAAATGGTGGTTAGCCATTACTTCTTGCCTCATCAAGAGAGTGCTTCCTGCAAAGATGGTGTATCTGTGTGCTTCCTCAATTGTTCTTCCTTTCTTGCTAGTTCATGTTGCCAAACAATCCAAGGAAGCTCTCACTGCCTTCCTATGCATCCTGATCCCGCTATAAACGGGAGATGTCTCTCTCCTTGTTCTGCCAGCTCCATCGGAGACCTCTTTCTACCAGCATACTCTTTTCATTTCTTCCTACTTACATTTGACAACCATTTCTCAAGCATTTTGATTTGGAGTTACAGGATTTCTAGTCTCATTGAAGACATGATTACATCTCTAGCTCTTATTCTCCTTGCTGTTTCGGGGTAATTTCAGAGAGAAGGCACAAATGTCTTTGCCATCTTAAATCAGAAGTCATGGTTTGGGATTTCAAAACAATCCAGATGAGCTTCCAGAGCTAAAGCTGATATAAAGCAATACTAAGAGATTATATAAGGTCAACAAACTACTTAAAAGAAATTATATTTACAGTGATGAGAATAATCTACTGGATATACAGATAATTATTATATTAAGCAAAGATAATTGAATAAATAATGATTATTTTCTATCTCCTAACATTGAAAACTAGCAATGTAAAATAACATTGATGATGGTATTAGGTTTTGTTGCCAGCTAAAACAGGCTAAAACAAAACAATCAAATACTCTGATCAGGGCAGCTCACAAGATAACAAGAATATCCTTCATTTTCAAGATTTCAGCTCAGTTTCTTGCACTTGTATTAAATAGTGCATCAATGTATACTAATTCCTAATGAAATCTAAGTGGCATTCAGATTGTGCCAAAGCTTAGCCTGTTCTATGCCTGAATTAATAAATGGGAAAGAGCATGAAAGGCCTATATAAACCACTACGGAAACACAAAGTCCCAATTAATATCTTACTCTCTCTTTGGACACATCGCTAATCTAATTAATTCTTACATGAAATAAACCTCCACAATATGTCATCACTTACTACTTTTTATTATCAAGATGATATCCAATTAACTTTACTTCATTGTTTATTTTTCATAAATGCCAAGGCAATTCAATTGCAAAGGAGGAATATTAGCTTGTCAAAACATTCCTTTTTGCTAGCGCTATCTCCGCATTAGGAATGTAGTTAAAATGAATAATGTGATACTTTAAAAAAAAGAGAGGCCAAGGATTGTTGATTTTACCTCTAAAATATCTCTGGCATCAACTCCCCCTTGTTTTTCACTGTCATTCTAATCTAGATTTTAATTGTACCTAATGTCCTCATTTTAAATGATGTGTCCACTTTCTACCTATCCATCCATCATCTTACCTGTACACTGACAGATGTATCAAGTTGCTGATAGATGAATCAAGTTACACCACAATCACAACTATTCAATGGCTCTCTACCACCTACAAATGAAGTTCAAGTTCCATACAATAAATAGCATTTGAGGGTATACACAATCTAACTGAACGTAGGCAAATTTTCTAGGTTTTCTCCCACTTCACACATTCCACGGTTTTGCCCAAGTATTCCTGCAACACATCCCACATTTGCCTGCCTCTTTGCTTTTGTTCATTTCCTCTTGTCTGAAATGCTGTCATCCATTTCCATAAAACCACTTTACACCTCTTTTCATAGCTCGTTTTAAATGACCCTTCTTTTATGAAGCTTTTCACACTCTTCCAAGAAAAGTGATCTCTCCTAGCCCTAAACCCCTAGTTTTACCGTCTTGCAGGGAATAAATATTTGTTGCCAATAAATAAATAAATAAATAAATAAATATTTGCCTATTACTGTCTACCATAATAGGCAAAGATGTCCCCAAAATGCTAAGCACTGGAGAAAAAATGATAAATACCACAAAGTTCCCCATCTCTAAGAGTTTAGAGATGAATATAAGAGTTTTTAAAAAAGGGCTGGTGATGGTGATGGTGGTGGAGGGTGTGATGTATCTAGAAAAAAGCACGGGAAGATTTTTCCAAAATGCACAAACACTATCCCTACCACCCCATTTCTATTATGAACTACTGCTCTAGTTTATTAGAGATAAATATCAGAGGCAGTATCACTAGTGTAATTGCTATGAAGCAATAAGTATAGGTTACTATGGGAACACAAGGAGAGGCAACTAATCCTAAAGCTTGTACTGCTTTCTATTTTGAATTATAGTTATTAGTACACATGAAATATCCCCTACCGGCCTATAGCTGGCTGAATTAATTTCAAGTAATAATAAGTACATACACTAAGTACACTCAAATATACTCCACAGTGCTCAAGAGCACACAAAACTTTTAAAGTTTTTATCTTAAAAAGTTCTGTCCAACAGGAACTTTTACGATAAAACAGAATGTGAAATATGAAAAAGTGATTTTTTTGTTTAGAGTTTAAAGCCCATACTTGGTTCTAACTCCCAAATAATAAACATTTAAAAACAACATATGAAGAAATATGGCATAGAACCAAAATAAAAATATTATTTGTGTATATATTTCACTTTACATGTGACACATTAGCTATTATAATAGAAATGCTGGAAAGGATAGGTAATGTATTTTCTTACTTATACTTTGGTAAAGCTTCCTAAAGAAGATAGTATATCATGTCTAATGGAAAAGAAAGAGTACTGCAGAAATAGTAAAATAAAATGAGGGGAAAAAGGGAAAAAAAGACAAAGTGTTTTAAAAAAAAAAAGATGTAATGGGATACTACGGGGAGTTATGAGTTTAAGTAGCCCAAGTATCTTCAAGTTCTAACGCAAATATGAGGTTAATATCAATGTGGTATATTTCAGCACAGTTATTCTCAGATGCTGTGGAAGGAGGCCATAACTGGCACATGAACTGAGGTTTGGCAATGAAGAAGAATGGGTAGGTCTGCTTCCCAACTGAACCTTTAACAGATTATGGTGTCAAGGCCATCAATCCCCTCGGTCTTTGGGCCTGGGGTAGCTAGAGCCCAAGACTGGACACCTCCAGCCAAGAACAAACACATTCCTTTATCCTTTCTTTCAACCCTTTATTATCAATTTCACTATGTGCTAAGACATGAAAAAG